CTGAACTTGCCACACTCCATTCTTGAGTCTGTGCCTTCATTAATCCACAAGTCTCAGTGGTAATTTTGTGGACATCATCAATAATGTAGAAAGTTTGGACGCTGAAGAGGTTTGCCTGCCTGGACAGGAGCCTGTGTCCCTTTTCGACGCACTGCTTGAAGGCCTGCTACTCGTGCTGTTGCGCTGGCTGGCCGCTGCAAGTATTTCACATTTTCCAGCTTCTGATTTGGTAATGGCGGCCTTTTTTGATTGTGCAATGACCTTTTGATGGCTGTGCCTCGCCTGATGACAAAGCAAAGCATTTGCAAAACTGCGCATCCCCAGACGAGCTGCATGCTACAACATGTGAGGCGCCCGCAACAATGCCCGTTAGCTTGTCAAGTACGTTATCCTCACCCTTGGGAACGACCCTGTACCGCAACGCCACACGGCGCAATGTGTGTCTGATACCCTGGGTCTCGAACCCAACTCAGTCGCCGGGTGCGTTACCTTGAACCCAAAGTACGGGCACCGCCCGCTAATGTACTAAACCGAGTTACCCAGCCATACTATTTGTACTGCCAACGTATACTAGAACCACACTGATCAAAATGCTATACGCCAATCATTCATGCCAGGGTGCCGACTGCTGGCTCCCCTCGCTGGGGTACAGCACATGGTGCGGCAACCGCAATAGTTGATCGTTTCAAAATATCAGAAATCACATGTATGCAAAACCAACCGCACTCCGACCACCCAAGTAGGCAGAATTCGGTCCTGACACACCCGTAGAAAAGTCCAGCAGGTCCGCCCATTTAAAAATTTGGGAGCGTTGTGTTAAATATTAAGGATGCACCGATATTTTGTTATGTCCTGGAAAGTTTCAAGCTCGCCTGGGAAACGACCATTTTCTGCTCACTGGCAGATTATTGTTCCGTGTGCCGCCAGCAAGCGTGCAAATCAAAATCTTCAACGCAGTTTCATGTGCTGGTGACGCAACGCACTCAGAGAAGTGTGGCTGGAGGTAAACGCGTTTTGCGCACTGCGATCGACAATCTCGCTCTGGAAAGAATCGGGCATCAAAGAAGGGTCGATGCCAGCGGCCATGATGCAGAGCGAACGAGTTGCCGGTGGAAGCGAGAAAAACATTTTTCTGCCCAAACACGCAAATGGGGAAAATACAGTAAGGAAGATATCCTGACATCTGACCTTCACGCGGACGCGTCTGCAACGATGATAATTGCTTTCCGGGGGCCCACCATGCCATAAATGCCTTCGCGAGGGAGAAACGCGCCAAAGATATCCATGCAATTCCGAAGCCATATAACCAGGCTTGTCATTTACATTCGTGGCACCATTTTCGCATTTACCTTTAACCCGTTGAAACGCCTAAATAGAGAAATGGTAATTTCTACGATATACTTACGCATTTTTACGGCTCATCGACACTCCCGGCTTGCATGATTATATTCCAAACAGTGATAAGTTCTCCGCCTTTAGAGCACATCATAGCTCCCACCTCGCCCTCGGCAAGGTCTAACGTCGCCGTCGAACAAAGGTCGTCTTATACCCAGTCCAGCGAGTTTGAATGCCGCTTCCCGGAATCACTGGGTCTTTAATACGGTCTTTACGTACACATTGCCTATTCTTGTCCATTTTTACGTCTACTTACGCGCAAATCGTAAAAAACGCATTTAAGCCTAAATACCCATAAATAGAAAGTGTTTGCGCCGTAAATAACAAGCCTGCATGCAGCCGTCCATTATCTAGATATGTAGGTAAGCTACCGAATAAATGATGTTTACAACAAAGTGAGAGTGAACGCGGCATCAGAATCCCAAGTGTAAGTAGCCCATTTTACATGTATGCGCCGCGCTTTCACACGTAGACCAAACTTTGAGCATCACCCAGACCTCAAGTTCAGGCATTTCTGAGAGACGGCATTAGTCGACACAAAGGGGAAATTGGGGTCGACAGGATGTGCCGAGTGGTGGCCGAGAATATCGGATCGAGACGATAGTCGGATTTCCGATTTGCAAAGGAGGAGCTAGGCTCAAAGCTAATGGGTAAGACGCCTTACTAAACTTGCCACCTTACGCAACGTGAAAATGATCTTAGTCGTGGGCCAGGTTTGCCTCTACGCGATGAAGCTGGCGGCAATTGTGCAGGTCGAATGGCCATGGCGCTGTGAACATATTCCATCCGACAAAGAGTCGGAACGCCACCGGTCCCAGAAAAGTAAACCAATTGGCTTCCCTTTCATCATAGGCCTGATATCTCTTTGAGCTTCCAATATTTGATGCTTTGCGGGTGGAGCTTTGCCAGTCATTGTGAGGTCAGTGTAGACCGCTCGCAATGTGACGGTGTTTGACTATTTGAGTTCGGCAGAGACAGGTGACGTGACGAATGTGCCGAATTTTTGCGCTGCCTGTAAGGATGTTCATTCATTCGTTCCGAACTTCCAAGTTATTGCCAGTTCGGGAAAAGCTTCCACCATGAAGTTTCCCCATCACCAAAGACATCGGCCACAAAGTCCGCCAATTGCAGAATCACCGCCAGCCGTGCTCCAGCCCACGGCATGCTCACAGGAAGACAGACTCACCATCAGGCGAGCGCCAAGCCTCAAAATTGCTTGCGTACCACTCACTAGGAAAAAACGGGCCAGATGACACGGTCCTGACACGGTCTGCTCAAAATCCAACCGTGTACTTTTGGCAAATGTGCTCCCAGAACTACGTAGTTAGTACACACATTGACACAGTTTCAACCGTGTACTCTCAAACAACTGTGTAGACTACACGGTTTCATAGGATACACGGTTGAAACTGTGTCAACGTGTGTACTAACCGTGTAGGTTTGAGACCACATTTGCCGAAAGTACACAGTTGTATTTTGAGCAGACTGTGTAAGGACCGTGCCACTGGCCTGTTTTTTACTAGTGACATGTTATAATGCCCCATGTAGTTGGAGCCAAAGAAAAGAGAAAGCGCCTATCCATATAATCCAAAATAATCACAAATTAGCCACCTTGGCACAGTGCATGACCCTCTCTTGTTTTTGTTGCACAGTCAGAATATTGCATATGCACATGCTCAGCAAATTTTCGGGTCCTCCAAAGATTAGCCATGCAAGCCTTTCACAAATTCGATGAGAAATATTTGAAATAGAGCTCATCACAGTGACTGATCTGAATGTTCAAAAAGTCGACGAAAAGCGCATGCGGGACAAATTTGTTGTGCGAGCGCTGACAACGCAGTCGGATGTGCAACCCCCTGATTCGTGACGAGAAAAGACCAAGTGAACCGGTCAAGTGGGCAAGCAGTCTATCTTCCGGTTTTGACAAATCGACCGAATTTCTTGCTTTTCTCCTGGTCGTTTCCCTCCTTCTTTTCTCAGTCTTCTCCTTTCCGTCCTTTATTTAGTTGCGCTGGGTGACAACACCTGCTTGGGTACTATTGCTGCCTGTGTTGTACAAGGTAATATCGATCGTTGATAGAATTTACTTTGTGGCGCAGCAAAGGCAACCCGAGCAGCTGCTACCACACGACCATCATCAAGATGTGTGGAAGTTTGAACTTGTTGCAAAAACTGCGCGAAACAGATTGTTCCCAGCAGCACTTCAGGATACGAACAGCGGAAGTTTGGGCTAGAGCACTGGCACACCAAAGCAGCCCGGCCGTCCACGTCAGAGCATCTTGAAATGGTGATAAGCGACTAAAAGCCTTTGCCAACGCCGGCAGGCAACAGACGAGCTCAGGAGAAATCGATGGGCAATGCCAGCATGCCGGCCCACTGGGCAGTGGGGTGGAGTTGTGGGCGGTGGGCTGGGAGCTCATGGGCGCCGTCGGTGCAGTGGCAGAAGTGCGCCTGTGGGCAAAAGCCTCTTCTGCGGCGTCGACACGAAATGCCACAGATGCCCAGGCCTGCAAACCCTATGTTTACGAGGACCTGCTGACGCCTGCACAGATAGCAACCTTTGAGAGAGGTAGCGACCTTTGAGAGAGAAACATCAGAGATTTTGGTCAGCAGCCCCGGCTCTCACGTTCCCAGTGCTCCCAAGTCTTCTTTCGGCAAATTCACTCATCGCAGAAGACACGCCATCCCTGCGGTCTGCTGTACAGCACATGTGGATCCAATGAGCCGCCGCCACGCGCCAGGCGCGTGCCGCGGCACGACTGCTGCTGACTGGCCAGCCTGTTCACCAATGTACTGCTTAGCGCGGCCCAACGGTGGGCTGACAGGCGGCACGACTTCCCACACCCTTCCCGCGGACACGCGAACCGCCACCCAGCACCGAGACCCGCTTGCGCCTGTGCACGAAAGAGCATACAAACACGCCAATGTCATTTCAGTGCGATGACAAATCACAACTTCCCGCATTCGTCCCGCACTGCTCCGCGGCGCACCGTCAGCTTCCGCCCCTCACAGCCCGCAGGGCGCTGGTCACACCCTTCCCCGCCTACAAGAGGGCGCCGTGCCGCCCATCCCCACCAAACTTTCCACCTCTGCGAACAGCTACCGCCGAGACCTCCGCGAGCTGCCGTGCCCACCCGTGGTGAGTGCGCCCCTGGCACGGGGGCACACCGCGGCCGCCTCCCCATCGTCGCGAGGGCCGATCGGATCTTTAGGGTGCCATGGTGCCACCACCGAGCACCTTGCGAACCTTTGGCGCTTTGATAGGGCAGCAGTCGCTAATTCAGGTGCCGCCGGGGAGCAAGGAGTTGATCGGTGGCGGCCGATGGACGAATGTTCGCTCGGGGGGGCGATCGCGTTTGGAATCCTAGACGGGTGTTCGCTTCGCGGCAGCGCCCGGACACCGTTTGAGGCGCATGTCAGCCTCCACCGGACTGGGAAGGTCCCAGCCGGCAAAGGCCGTGCCGTGTGGCGAGCGGCGGCGCTGTGTGGATCGGGCTGCTTGTTCCCGCTAGTGGCCCCTCGTTCGGGGCTCGGGCGAGTGGCTGGCTGGCTGCTCCCTATGTCCCCTGCCGTGAGGAGCATCGCACGTCTTGGGTCGCCCTGACATGTCGTGGCTTGCCCGCGGCGCAGGTCCCCAAGCGACGACCGCAACGAAGGCGCACAACATGAAGTTCGCCGCTGCCGCCGTTCTGCTTTTGGCCCTGGCGGTGAGTGGCCTCCCATTTCCCCGTCGCCCCCGGGGGCGGGTGCACGTCCCGCCGACCGGCCAACCGTGCATCGCGGCGCCGCTCTGGTCCTGGCCGGCTGCTTGCGAATTCAACCGCACCTCGCCACGCGTCCCTGAATGTGTCCCGAACCCGTCTTAAGCCGGAAGGCTCACGCTGCACCGTGGCACGCGGTTCCGTGGGTTGGGGAGAAGCCGCTGTGCCGTTGGTCGGAAGCCCATTGACCGGTCTTTGGGGCACGGGCTGAGCGTATGATTATGCCCCTCATAGGTTGACACACAGTACGCAATGTATGGCGTTTTCTGAGTGTTTGTGGTGGCTGCCTCGCAGTCCGTCGCCAGCGCCAGGCCCGTGGGCCTGCGGACTCTCCTGGACGCCAAGAAGGAGCCCATCTACTGCACCGGCGCGGACCACGCCGAGGACGAGTGCCCCGAGCACTACGAATGCGCCGCCCTCGACAAGAAGGTCTGCAAGCAGGTCCAGGGTGAGTGCGGCCCGCGCCAGTCCGCTTCTAAACGGAGCGCACGCTGTCTGCATGTGGTTTGAAGTTGCTGAGGGCGCCACCATGGATCAATTCCTTTTGGCGACATTGGCAGCCCTGTTGGACCCAGACTTTTGCGCCACTTTTCAGACAGTAATCCGTTGCTGAAAAGACGCCCAGCTGGGGTCTGGAGGCCTGCCTGTGCGTTTCTAAACAAGCTTTCCTGACGGTTCGCGATAGTGCCTTGTTGAATCTGCCCCCTCACACTCGCGTGGTGCCTCGCAGACTGCACGACGGACAAATATGGCAAGGAGACCTGCACCTACAAGGAGCAATGCTGGGAGTATGAGTGCGTGGAGGTCCCCAAGTACTGCGAGGTGACCTACGCCGGCGAGGACGAGTGCGTGACCAAGTACGGCAAGGACCTCAAGTGCGAGAAGCTGAAGAAGAAGGAGTGCGTGTATGAGAAGGGTGAGTGACGGAGACACGAGCATCTCTCGTCGGTCTCAAGACTGTTTCGCCTCGAGCATGGTCTGCACATTCCGGGCCAGGGTGTGTGGTGGGAGTGTTGTCTGTCACATTCTTCGGTTTCTGGTCGTGTTAAGGCGGCCAGTCAAGTGATTTGGTCGCATGCAATGGCGCACATGTGCTTTGCGCCACATCTATCCCCCTTGGCTTCCGCATTAGCGCATTGGCCTTTCAATTGTGCACGGTAATCTCGCACTTTGCCCCTGGCCGTCGCGCTGATCCGCGGTACCGGCTCCCCATGGCGGTTGCGCTGATCCATATGCCCGGTTGCCCATCCCCAGAGTGCGAGTACGTCGACACCGACAAGTGCAAGGAGTACGAGTACGAGCGGAAGTGCATCGAGGTGCCCACCAAGATCTGCCTGAAGTACAACCAGGTGCAGAAGTGCGAGAAGGACCGCCAGGTGTGCAAGGAGTACAAGCAGGAGAGGAAGTGCGAGCAGGGCAAATGCACCAAGTACGATGCGTACGGCGGCTGCACCGCGTACGGCCAGGCGGACTGCAAGTACGTGGACACCGACAAGTGCAAGGTGTACGAGACGGTGAAGGGCAAGTGCGTGTACGTGAACGGCGCCTGCAAGGAGTACAAGAAGGAGGAGAAGTGCAACGACGTGAAGAAGGGCTGCAAGGTGTACGAGCAGGAGGAGGTGTGCAAGGATGTGGAGGTGTGCTGGACCGCCAAGTGCGTCGAGGTGCCCAAGAAGTTCGGCTACAATGCGGGCAAGTAAATTCCAGACTTTCCGGCTGTGGGGACGTGTTTAGGACGCCGATGGGATAGAATGGAGGTCGAGGCGGCGACGACCCGCACGTCCGGGCTAGCGAATACGCGAACATGCCCAGGGCTTGCGGACAATATGTCTGGAAATATGAGATTTGAGTCGAAGTATATGTCGTAGGCCGTGATGCGACGAGTGGGTGGCTGCGAGGCCATCGCCTGTGCTCAACTATTGTAATTGACGCAGTGTTGCTTGGAGTTCTATTTTCTCTTTGACTATGGAGTCTGCAAGAGCAAACCCAAGAAAAACAACATAAGCGCTTCTCGCTTTGACCACAGCAAGCAGCCTCAATCCAGCCGCCTGTGCATCCGCTGTTCCACCGTCGTCAAGCGGAGTTGGCAAAATCGCACACGTGCATTATGCGTCATTTATGCCTGTGCACACTCTCTCAAGATCTACACATTTTCATATTCGGTGTCGATTACCACCCGTTCCAAAATATTACCAAGGACCGTCATCTAAGTTCGCCTTGCACACTGCGGTCGAAACCAAACTGCATGTAAATCCGCCTGGCCCTTAAACAAATGAATCTTTTTCCAATACGGATGGCTGCTGTCCCAAGCACCTCCCAGTGCTAGTCTCACAGCGCAACAGGCGCGAGATGCCAGCGGCAATCGACAACGTGACCAGGGATCTCGAAGCAAAGATCTGCCGACCGGAATTGCAAACTGCCAACGAAACACTGAAAATCCATCGCTCCCCTTCGTATGGAAGTGTGCTCCAAACTTCCACGTGCATCGGTAACATCGTGGCCACATCATCCTGCCATTTGCCAGGATGCGTGAAAACGGCATGGCCGCGACGTCTCTGCTTTTTGCCAGGAACCATTTGCCGGGCCCGAAGTCTTGTACATCTGAGGCCGCCATGTCGCGCATGCGCTGTATCACAGCCATCTCACCATGCGAGCTGATCGGCCGGCTGCCCCTCACTCGTCTCCACATGAAACGGCGGTGACTGGCTAACTGGCGTCCTGCTCAGTGCTGCTGGTTTGATCTCTCTAAACTTCCCAGATTATCGCAGGCACGAATGGCTTTCGCGTTTACGTCTACATTGTGTTTGCGCTTTTCTGCTCAAACGCAAATTTGGAAAAGGAGCTATTCTAACGGCTGCATTACGTATTTTGTGGCTTTTTGGAATACCCACTATATAGTGGGCTATATGCATATATGCAGCCGTGCACAGGGGGAAAAGCAAGGTTACAATCTCACGGCAGGTTATCCCGTACCCGTTTCGGAAGACTTGCCGGATGATTGCTGATGATGACATGCCGCTTTTGAATACGTGCCGGATGACTGGAAGATGCGCCGTGCCCTCCTTGATGATGTGATTGATGATCTTGTCATTTTGAGCGTCTATGATGAAGATTGATGAGTACCGGGCACTGTGATGAGGTGGGTCAGGTTACGATGACCGGTGGCGGAGCGTGCTGGCGGGAACATGGGCGTGGGTGCGTCAGAAGCCGATTTCCAAGTAGTTTAGGTGGCTGAAGTACTGTGGGTGCCGCACCCTTGCGTTTTCCAGTACTTCACGGCGACTAACTGCTATGGGTGCCGCACCACGTGCTGTGCCCAAGCACAGGGAACCGGCGGCCGGCACTGCGGTACAACTGATGGGTGTGGTGGCGTTTCGAGCAGCATGTCAGATTCAGAGCACCTCTGAGATCATCTCACAGAGATGCAAGCCGTACAGTGGGCATGGCTAGGTAACGCAAGCTAGTATGTCAGCGATTGGAGCCCGTACTTTGGATGTCGGGACGTTCTTGGAACCCTGGGTAACTCAGGCTAGTACATTAGCGGGTGAAGCTCGTACTTTGGGGCCCGGGTGCCACTCCCAAGGACTGAGACGGTTTCGGAACCTAGGATAACGCTGAACAGTACATAATCGGGACTGTTCGTACATCAAGGCGAGTGTGTCGCACCCGAGATCAATGCACTACGGTGCTGTTATATATTTGATATGACCTTTTTGGGTATGAGTCAGACGAGTACCGCGTTGGTGCCGCACCCCGCGGCCGGACTATTTATGAACCAACGGCTTTGCTTGCAGCAGCCAGCGCTTGTCTGGCCCACACTTTTGCTGTGTTTCTCTGTGCATACGCAGGGATTCTGCCACGCTCGGGGGCTACGTTCCTCGCTGACGGTCGCCCACTGTGGGTGCATCCTCGCCGTCGAGTTGAGCCGCTTCGGGCGGGTGTCCATTTTCGTGCGTGACTGGCTCATTGCCGGGGGATTCGCCACATGGACGCCATTCCTGCAGCGAACAAGGCTCGGCGCCACAGGAGGCGGCGGGAGATCAATGGTTTCAAAATTTGGAGATGACAAACCCACGTCGGTGCGTTTTGGATTACGCCCGATTGCCCGGAGCCCGAGGGCTGTCTGCCTGTGCGCGAGCGAGGCTGGCGCAGGGTGCGGGGCAAGGAACTGCACTTTTCTAAGGAGATGGGCATCAGACAACAGTGGAAAGGGTAAGCGGTTGACTACATGGTTGACGGACATGTGCGTCCATGAGTGAATGCACGAATCAATGCACGGACAACACAACATTGCACACGATCGTCCACTGCACTACACGGTTTTGAGTTCTTTCCAATTTAAATCATTATTGGTGCACAACCGATCTATTGACTTGTGGAGTAATCTGATTGAGGGATTGATTTGATTGAATACACAAAGAACACGATGAAGCAAGATTTACATTGGCACCATGCGGAATTCATTTGGTACCAAATGACGGCCACAGGGACACACGGAGAACACGGCGATACAAAATTTCCAACTGTGCTGCACGTTTCTTATTTGTTCACAATTGAGTACATCTTGGGTGCAAAATTTATTGCACGATTGATTTCGTAGTTAATTATCCAAATGACACTAAGGAACACAATTTTCAGCTGCGCAACACGATTTCCATCCGGTGGCAACTAACTGCAACAAGGGTACACCATTCGTTAAAACAAAAAGAAACGATGCTGCACGATTTCAATTGTGATGCACGATTTTCGGTTGTTGCCAATTGAATGCGCAAAGAGGACACGATGTTAAACCATTTTTTACGCGCATAACACGGCGTGTGATTTTCAGGACCGTGTTACTTTGGTCGAATTTTCGCTAGTGCAAAATTCAACAAAGATCGATGTTAGCTGATAAAAGACGGAAAAGGTACCCAGGTATGTGTTGTCTATGATCAAAATTAGGAAAAAAAGGACGCAAAGGATGAAGGCTGGAGAAAAGTTAGAGAAAAATAGGGAAAAGAAAACCAAAAAATACGGACTTCATTTTAGAAAACCGGAAGACAAGTTATTTTGAACATCAGACGGTGAGCTTGGTCTTTGCTCATGAAGACTTTTACTTGGAATGTCTTATCAGCTACTCGATGTATTACTGTGGTCATGGATTGTCGAATGAGGGCGTTGCACATCCAGCTGTGTTGTCGATTCTCACACAACAAGTCCGTCTCGCATTCGTTTTGCCTCGACCGTTTGGACATTCTCACATTGTGATGAGCTCTATTTCGAATTCAGAAAACGAATTTGTGGAAGATCTTCGTGGTATGTGCATATGCAATGTTATGGCTGTCCAACGAAAAAACGTGGTGAAATCGCGCATTGATCCAAGGCTATTTCCTACATGAATTTGTTCATATTGATGGACGATTTCTGACATTGATCGGTAAGCGATTTTTGCGACCTGGCGTCCATGTGATGCTTAATCTGTCATCGCGCGAGCATGTCGTGAGTTGGAGCCCCGCTGGCGGTAATTCTGCAATTGACTGGCTTTCTGATCTGTGCTCTTGCAATAAGGAAACCTAATGGTGGAGCCCCGCTGGCGGTAATTCTGCAATTGACTGGCTTTCTGATCTGTGCTCTGGCAATAAGGAAACCTAATGGTGGAGCCCCGCTGGCGGTAATTCTGCAATCGACTGGCTTTCTGATCTGTGCTTTGGCGATAAGGAAACCTAATGGTGGAGCCGGCTTTCGAACCAGCGATCAAGCTCTGCTCTTACGACTTAACACTTATCGACTTTGCGTTACTATGCATTGCAAAAGTTTCACATTATATCGCCAACGCGCGTGAAAATACGTCAGTACAGCCGCCAAAGCCTACCTGTGGATCATACTATGCATTGCAAAAGTTTCACATTATATCGCCAACGCGCGTGAAAATACGTCAGTACAGCCGCCAAAACCTACCTGTGGATCATGTGCTGCATGGGTAAACAGTTGACCGACTGTCCCCTGCGCTCGCCATGGGGCGCAAGGGAGTGTATGGGCCGTCCGCCAAGCACTTTACAGACGATTTTTTTTCGACGACGTCGTTGCCTATGCTGAGGGCGAAGCGGGCGCTGAGTTTCGGGTGCTCCAGTGTAACGAGGACTGGACACTGTGCACGACATCATCATGCAACCAGGGTACCCCAACGAAGCGTAAAAAAACGCAAATTCAGCCGGCCACATAGCCCTTTATCTGTGTTTGTGTTTCATGTGTGAAAATTTTCAATGTACAAATGTAGACGTAAGCACAAGAACCAGCGTGCCTCCGATAGTTAGGCAAGCTCAGAGAGATCAAACCAGCAGCAGTGATCAGGACGCCAGTTCCTCTTCTAATCGATCAGCCCGCACGGTGGGATGGCTGTGATACAGCGCATGCGGGACATGCCGGCCTCAGATGGCCAAGGCTCGGCCGTGGCAAATGGTTCCCGGCAAACATCAGAGATGACGTGTCCAGGCCGCTCCCGATGCACGTAGAAGTTTGGAGCATGCTTCCGTGCGCATGGAAGCAATGGGTTTTCAGTGCTTTGTTGGCCTTTTGCAATTCCGCTGTGCAGGTTCTTTTCGAGATCCCTGGTCACGTTGTTGATTGCCGTTGGCATTTCACACCCGTTGCGCAGTGAGAGTTGCACTGGGAGGGGCCTGAGGCAACAGTCATCCGTAGTGGAACAAGATTCATTTGTTTG